TCTGTCTTCGGGGAATCAATCACCTGCACCGCGTCGAGAGGAACAGAGTGCGGCCGGCCTTCGCCAGGACCTCGCCGTTCTCCTCCTTCCAGACCCTCTTGAAGTTGATCCAACCTGGCCACACCAAGAACTTTTCGTAGACTGCCTCACCCTGTCCCTCCACGATGAGCTGCCGACGAGGGTGTCCTTTCGCACTGGGCGACTTGGATTCCCGCCAGATGTCCTTGGAGTTCCCCGATGCACGAGATACCTCGTCGGTGTGCCAGAATGTTCCCATGAGCTCCAGCATTTCTGGAGGGGTTGCGTCGCTCCTCTTGGTCCGGGAGTGGAAGTAGTACGCCTTCTCGTCGATTGCCTGAAGTGGAGGGAGCTCAGGCCTCAGCGCTGTCACCCGCCGTCGGGCGACGACGAGGTGCTCTGGGTGAACGCCAAAGATCTCGGACTTGCGCTTGGCTGTCACCTTCGAAGGCCCGTCTCCATCGTACGCAACAGCCGTGAGCAACGTCTGGAACGTTCTCCTTCCCTCTTTGGTTCGCCCTTGGATTGCGGCATCCTTTAAGGCTCTACGACATGCCGATTGGAGCTCCCTCGCTTCCTCCAGCTGCTCTCGAAGCTTGTCAGCGGCGGGCACCTTGAGCTCTGCCAGACACCGCAACAACTCTGTTGTGGTCATCGCTCTCATGGCCGCCACGAATGCTGGCGAGGTGTCACTCCACTCGAATTGCTCTGGTGGCTGGAAGGTTTGAGCGGCAGGGTGGGTCAAGTGCAACGTACAGCAGTGGGGGCATTTGGAAACGTCAGCGCTGGGGTAGCAGCAGAAGAAATCAAGAATGAAAGCCTGTGATTCAATTTTTACTTCGATGCGAATACCAAATGTACACTCGCCGTAGACAGCAATCGGAAGTTGCGCCAGTGGTGGCATACAACGCATCGAGCGAGAGCAATCCACAACTCTGGAGGTAGAGAAGAAGTCTCGCATCACAGCGAACACTCGTTGTTACCTTCAGCAGTCGGCAGGCATCTACGGTAAAGAGAGCAGACAGCAGTCTACAACCAAAGGTGGTACCAGTACATGCAGGCAACCTTTCAGTTTTGTTTTCCCATACAGCAGTACCCTCAAGGTTGTTGTTTTTTCATCTAGTACAACAGAAGAGGAGAGGGGTTCAAGAGGGGATAGCGAGAGAAAGACAGCAGACAGACCCAGCAGCACCCAGCAGCAGCAGATTCTTACCTCTTCCTCAGGGGGGCGATCGGGAGCAGTCGGCCTTGTAACGCCAGCACGAGTCTTCCGCGGCAACGCCGCTCTCACTGGACAGCTCATCTCGCTGTCTGCCCTCCTGCCGGTGTTGCCGCATCTTCGCACGCCGCTGCTAGGCTGCAGTGTTTTTTCGTATCTGTCCCTTCTCGTCTTCAAGATTTCCTCGGCCTTTTCCCTAGCTTTCGAGCATAAGGCATCCTCGTCATCCTTGGGGTAGGCCACAAGCTGTACGACAACGCGGGTATCCTTCCGCTGGTCCATCAGCTTGGTGGTGAGCTTGAGGCCTAGGTCGTGTGGAACCCATTGGTGCGTTACTTTCCACTGCTTGTCTCCCAGCGGTACGATGCGGATGCAGTTGCCCGCTGGGATGCCAGCTCCAGCCCCAGCCCCACTCATATATGGCCCCCTCCCGCGGCCACTTTTGGTCAGACCAACTTTCTGAGTGGCTCTACCCCCCCTAAATCGGCCAAGCGGAGTCGATTGCCGAGGAGAAATGGAGGCGGCGAGATCGGGAATGCGCCGAAAAAAAAAGTTCGGCATGATCCGAACTGATTTTTTTTTATTTCTCTTTTTTCTATGCGCTGAAACGTCGTTTTAGACTTAGAACCAAAAGCGTTTTTTTGAAAAAAGTTTTTTTCGCCGCGGGAGACCCAATTCGTCTTGACCGCGGAACCCGCCAGCAGCAAGGAGTACTCTTCTGCCGCCCCACTTTCGTATCATGTCCATATGCGCATGAAGTTAACATCAGTATTAAGTCAGGTTTATTGTCTCAACGACTTCCTGAACACAGGCCAATATACTTACTACTCGTCCGTCATCTGAAGGATTTCGTGTACTTTCTGCTTGTGTACCAATTTTAGTGCTGGCAGCTACAATAATACGCCGTGAGCCGAATAAAATGTTTCATTACCATCAATAATCACCATGATCATCGTCGGCATTAATGATGAATAATTAATTGATGTCCAGAACGCACCACCACGTCTCTCATGTACCATCATATGGTAAGTGAAAATAGATCACCGACTTGACAACCAGCCGTATAGGGCCAGGTGCTCAACATAGATTCCCATACTAAACCCGCATGTATGTATGTAGTCGATGTTTGGTTATTATATACCCTACCGACGAGCGAGGTAGACTACAAGACATGATGAGTCTCTCTCGTACTGAAGGGGTGCGTGCGCATCTCTGTCAAGCAGGTACTGCTGTATGTGTGTACAGTGTTACACCAAGCAGATGACCCTCCCCACCCCTTGTGAGTTTGTTTGTATGTGATTCGATAATAAATAATAAACAAAAAAATACCGGTTTCGGATCGATCGTGGATTCTTGTGTACATGCCAACATGCAACAAACAAACTAGTGCGAAGAAGGTGTACCGATTCTGGTAAAAGTCAATCGACGGATACCCGGCGAATCGGGTCCTCCTTAACACTCTCCACCCACAGAATTTACCCTCAACTGGGAACCTCTTGTGGCCAGGACGGGTAATTCGATGGAAGTGTCACAAGGTTCTTTATAGGATCGATTCCAAGAGGTGTTCTCAGGACTGACACACATACATGGTGTCCATGGGAAAATGTCCAAGTCAGAGGAGAAAAAACGTGCACCCAAATTCCAAGGAGATTCGAACCAGTATCCAGCTGACGCCATATGCGAAGGTGTACCGATTCTGGTAAAAGTCAATCGACGGATACCCTGCGAATCGGGTCCTGGTACAACTGGTAATGTAAAAATCTGCGCCCCATAATCTCACCGTGCACAATGCACACACGCACGTGCGGCAAACCAGACCGTATTCTACGGTCCTCGCGATGCATCTACTGCATTGTACCCGACGAGCGAGAATCTAACGGCAGCCGAGCCCCAAATCCCACACCAACTTCGTCGTCACGAATAGTTTATTATGTACAAACCTTACGGTTCCAATTGCCGTTTCGTATCGGTAATACCGAGGTCGACCCCCTACAAATGTATAATACAAGACAACCTTTCTTTGCTTCTGTTGCGTAAAGAACCACACCTGGCAAGAGCAAACCCGGCCCTCTCCAGCCCGTGCGAAACATATTGAATTCGAACCAATCCCACCCGATAAAATGCCCCCCGGCTTCAACCGCCATAATCAACACAAACAAACCTATTCTATGCACAACAGGTCCTCTCCTCAAGTAAGTAGCAACGGGGGGCGGATTCACTTTGATAAAAAATTGACCTCTACATAGCAATCCCGCGACGAGGGGGGGCATATTATATAGGGTTGCCACCGGAATTCTTTTCCACAGCAACACAGCAGTCAACCCCAAAAAACAGTTTTTCCTGTCCTGCACCAATATTCCCGCGCTACACTTGCGACTCTGTTCAACTCCTGTGTGGGGCCGGCGGCGGTCTAAAGTCCCTTTCTCGCAGAGAGAGCATACTCCGTATCTCACAGGCCACATGAAAAATCTTCTCTGGCGAATCGGTGTTGATCGTGAAGATCGTCCCGGATCCTCAAGACGTACGTGTATCTTAGGCTTAGGCCTCCTTCCACTTCACGGCTTGCGCCTCGATAGGCGGGCCAACACACTCGAACGTCTCCACGATCGAAAATCCAAACGGTACCAACCCAACCTTTCAGAGTGGGAAAATCACGACCACCTATCCCTTGGGGGTACGATAGAAGAAAACAATCATGATCAGATGCAGGCACGTCATGCCGCTGACAGCTGCTGCAGCTGCTGCTGCTGCTGTTGCACTGAGGGCGAGCTCGATGGGCACCCTCCGATCGAAGCCCGGAGTTCGGGGATCAACCAATTCGCAGGACCGCCACCATGCGCATCGGAAGGATCAACACCTGCGGCGCCATCACCCGGGGGGGGGGGGGGGGGGGACCCCCCTTTTAATCATGCCCGAACCC